TAGCAACAATTTCTTGACGGCCACTGTGTGCATGGCACTGGGGGTCTCACAGTGAGTAATGGAGTCCCTGCTTATATCGATGTGACTGCAACCAGATCAATAGTGAAATCAGGATCATGAAAATGGGGCAGTTTTGTGAGTGTTCACCAGTGTATCCTGAGGACCAGCACAGAACCTGGCACACAGAAGACAAATATTTGTTGAATGAATGCTACTAAGGAAAGAATGCAGCATACTTAACGTATACCTAATAGGCTCCTAGAAATAACTTGGGCAGAGAAACACAGGTGCAGATATAGACAGAATGAAATATACTAAAGTGCTGAAAATGGTTGTTGCTTGAATGTTAAGCGTTAAACAACGAGCACTCTTTTTTAACACATGTGCACACACACACACACACACATATATTATAAGCACTCATTCCTATTCAGTGAAACATTACACAAATTTAACGGATGGGCCTTCAGCTTCTGTTAATGCGTGCAAGAGAAAACCACACTGACATTATTTATCATGTTATTTCTTAGGATACTCATTTATCAGTAAGCTACCAATCTTTTTGATTCATTCAGTGGGCACCTGGATGGTTCAGTCAGTTCAGCCTCCAACTCCTGACTTTGGCTCAGGTCATGATCTCATGGTTGGTGAGTTGGAGCCCTGCATCTGACCCCACACAGCGGGGCGCCTGCTTGGGATTCTCTCTCCCTGACTCTGCTCTTCTTCTGCTTGAGAGCGCAGGCTCTCTCACTCTCTCTCTCAAAATAAATAAAATTAAATAAAAAAAAATTCCCTCAAATATGACCCACCCTAATGAAAAGAAGGAAATGGCCAAAAAGCCATTAGGTAATGGAACTGGGTAATGTCTATTGGATGGGAACAGGAAGATGATTCTATGTCCAAAAAAAAAAAAAAAAAAAAAAAAAAAAAAGAACAGCATTTGACCAACACCAATATGATCTTGGACAACAAGGAGACTGTTGTCTTTAGGTACAAAAAGCAAGGTGTGGCCTTCCCAAACTCTAAGCCCCAGGGACCCACAGCATTTTTCCACTCAGAGGCTCTCAGTCAAGCTTGCACACACACGGGGGCTTCTCAGCCCCCGTGTAAACCAAGCAGAGAGCTTCCTTACCCAACACTCCACACCATAGGCCTGGTCACTTCCGTAAAGCACACACCCGGTAACACCCAGCCTGGGGTCCCCTAGCCCGGCACAAATTATACCCTTTTCCCAAGGCAGCACCCTCCAAGAAACACAGGGCAAATATCCCCACAGGCACAGCGCGGATCCTAGCAACAGCTGCACGCACTGAACACGAAGACCAAACCTTCACCCTGAACTCCAGGTCCGCAAGTGCTCAGGCCCGGAAGCACACCGCAAGCTATCGCTGGGGTCAGGGATCCGCCCTGGGAAAACACCCGCCGCACCCATCGCCCGCAAGACTTACTCCAACGCCTCACAAGTCTTCACCTCCGGCACCCCAGAATCCCCAACCGATAGGTGCTCGCACAGCACGTCCAGGGGCACCCCCGGCCCGCGCCTGCTCCCGACCCACCAAAGAAAGCTCCGGGGCCCTGGGGTCCGGTCGGCCCGCTCGCAGACCCGCTCCGGCTCGCCACTTGAGCGCACACCCGATCCAGGCTCTTACCGGAGGGCATGGGTAGCAGTAGCCCTGGGGCCACCAAAAGGATTACAAAGCAGGACAGTGAAGAGCGCCTCTCGGGGAGGCCGGGATCTGCGTGGAACAGCGCGCAAGACGCCATCATCTTCCGGGAGACCACCGGGAACCGGGGAGCTCGACGGGCAAAGACCTTCCCGAGTCCGGGTACCAGACGCAACAATCCCCCTCGTATGCAGGTGTCAGGCTCCCAGGCGCAGGGGCGTGGCCTGAGGAAGGGAGTGGAAGTGACGGAGTTGGGCGGGAGTGAGAGGACTTCCGGACTGGGCGGGGCTAGCCAGCAGCTGGAAGCGGGACCTGCCTGGCGGCGTGCGGGACTCGGCTGGCTCCGGATGAGAAAGGGATCCGGAAGGGTGGAAAGGAAAGGAGGGCTAGGGAGTCATCTTTGTCCCTTTTCCGGAACGGAACGCCGCTTTGAGGGAAAAGCGCCTCGCCCTGAAAATACAAACCCAGAGCCCAGGCAGCGGGGTCGTCGTGGGGCCAGCACCCCTCGGGGCTCCGGTCGTGTCCTGAGGCATTCGGGACTGTCCGG